AAAAATTGGGCTTCAAACAGACACTTCAGCAAAGAAGATATATGAATGCCAAATACATGTAAAGATGCTCAACATCCTTAGTCATTAGTGAAGTTTAAAACCACAGTGAGATAGTACTATATACTCACTTGAAAGGCTAAAGTTAAAAAGACTGAGCATACCAAGTGTTGGCTAGGATATGGAACAACTAGAATTCTCATACTCTACTAATGGGAATGTATAATCACTTGGGAAAACAAATTGACAGTTTCTTAAAAAGTTAAAAATATACCTATCATTCACCTCACCTGCTCAATTCCTGTGTATTTACACTAGAGAAATGAAAGCCTAAGTCCATAGAAAGACTTGTGCATGAATGTTCCTAGCAACTTATTTGTTGCTAGTTGATGGACACAACACAAATGTCATTCAACAGGTAAGTACACAAACAAATTGCGGTATATCCATACAATGTGATACTGTTTGGCAATAAAAAGAAACAAGCTATGGATACACATAATGACATGGCTGAATCTCAAAATAATTATACTAAGTAAAAAAGCCAGACAAAATAGAATGCATCCTGTAAGATTCCATTTACATAAAATTCTAGGAAATGCAAATTAATCTACAGTGACAGAACATACAACCACCATTGCCAGGGAAGTGGGGGAGGGAAGGTTGGGTAAGGATTACAATGGGTGATGGTTAGGCTCATTATCATGACAGTGATGATGGTTTTATGGGTATATAAAAATATCAAATTGTGTACTTTAAACATGTGCAGTTTATTTTACATCAATTATACACCAATAAAGTTGTTTTTTAAAAGAATAACCTTTCATATACATTAGAAAAGTTATTATACATCCGTCTTGTTTTCTTAGCCTCCAGCTCCAACTCCAAAACATCTCAAGTCTTCTCTTCCTCAGATTAAACAAGCCCAGCTATTTCTTTTAAACTTTTACGAGAATTAATGTATCCTTGCGCTCTTTTAAAAAGTAAAATCAATAAACACTTAAATCCTAATAATTAATCACACAAGAATTAAAAAACAAAAAAAAAATTTTAGGACAATGTTCTGAATCTTTCACATGTTCTAGACAGGCTCGGAGAAGTTAACTGGCTTGCCCAAGCTCACAAAGGGAATAAATACAGAAGCTGGGATACAAAGTCTGTCTCACTCTAGAGCTTATGCTAGTCCCAAAAACGAGTGTTTTCCATCTCTGATATTTTTACCACCATAAAAATGAACAACAACAGCACATACTAAAAGAAATTCAATTTTATTCATTTTAAGTATAACTGACAATTCCAACTATTCAACCAAGTGATGCCAAATTGTTGGGTCAGCTTTAATAAACTCACTTGCTGTTTTTAGCGGTATGATTTTGCAGTGGTTATTAAGGTAAAAGATTCCCCTCTCCCCATCCTGATTTGATTAAACCTGCTTTCTAATATTTTGAACAGCCTTTTAATTTGCTTACTCCATCATGAAAAGATAATTTTCAACTCATACCAGTTTTAGTTACCCTAAATTCTGACAAACAGAAGCGAAATCAGTGGACTAATCTCTAATATATTCCAAACGAATGCACAATGGAGACTACTGTGCAAAGTTTAAAGATGAAACAAAACTGATTACACACACCTATACCCTGCCGCTAATGAAAAATATACTAGTGTTACAAGTATACAATTTCAATGGTGGTGGTATCTTTGTTCAGAAGCACGGTATATTACTATATAGCTGAAGCCCTCTAGCATTTACTTAGGTTACTAATTAGGAGAATCACATTACCTTCAAGTCTTTCCCTGGATGTGACCAAGGCTTAGTATATTAATTTCATGGTGATTGTATTTTAAGATGGGAAACATGTCAATAAAGAATACTGGTTACTCCTTCAAAGTGTCCAGGTGATGAGATCTCAGCTGTGGCAGAGTTTGAGACATTAACTAGAAGAAAATACTGCTAATTCCCACTGCCAATTTTGATGATCTGGAGATATTTTATGTTGCATTTTAAGCATAAGTATCATTCAAAGTCTTCACAGGGGGTATACAAATGAATATAAAAGGAAGAAAATAAAGTGATATTCTTTATTTCCGTTTGAATTCAATCAGTTAACAAATTTAGCCTCAATTCAGTATCATCTTACTCCCCAGCTTTCCTCCTTGCCTATCAAAATAATAATAATAATAATAAAGTCAGTGCAAACTGTATGAGTCACTTTTCAGTCATGCCAAGGCCATAACCTTCAACCCAAAATTAAAAATAAAGTGCTATGCGTGAAATTCAATAGTGTTTAACTTTTGAGTGCTAAAATCTAATAAATATAGCATTTCAAAAGAAATTAAACAATCTGGATCACTTCTGTTCATTTTCATGATTTCATCAGCATATTTCTATGGCTTTGACTACATTTGCTAGTATTCAGATCCTGGGTAAACTGGTGGAATTTGGCATCTCTTAGTTTATAATCTGTAACACCAGCTCATACAAGTCACAGGAAAGTTCTCCACTCCCCGATATACTTCAAAGCATTTCATTTATTATTCAAATGGTTCTTCTAACAAAAACATTAGTCAAGAAGAAAGTAAAGAAATCTTATTTTTTAAAAGACACACCTTCCACACCAGACTGCTTTAACTAACCATGCTATTCTTGGCAAAGTCTTTATTTCCTAAAGAATACATTTAATTCCAATTTTTCTTACCTCTAGAAGGTCAGGGCTTGTTTTTACTTGTTTACATTCAAAGTGAGCTTTTATGTATTTGAAGTTTACCTTAACTTCTTCCTAAGTTCCTATATTTTCTAGCCTTTTATAAAGAAAATACTAAATTTAAATATGTGAAGAGTATTGAAATCATAATGAACATCTCACAACTACCTTTAAATGATGACAGGAATGAGTGCATGAGTTCATGTATACACACTTACAGGGAAAAAAAGAGACATCTTTTAGTCAGAGTTCTGAGTTTATAGCATTTGGGGTTAGCCATAAAAACTGCTTCATGATTTGAAATAGTGTTATTTTCTTTCTTTCTC